GCTCCTTGCCAGATACATGAATGGCTTCACATCGAAATGTCATGTCATCAATATAGTGGTTGCACAAAAACACACAAGCTCACTACAACCTCGTAATCATGACATCCCTCTAGCCATGGTGGCCAAATCAAATAAACCACACACAAACACCACATCCCACAACTGTGCTCACTTCTCAGCCCTACAGATGCTGAGAGCCTCCTGTGTATGTTCTCTTATAAGAGCCATATCACTACAACAAACACACAACAACTAGTTACTTGAACATGTATTTGTTATTTTCTTTAAACCATATAATGGAATTTTAACCCAACCACACATAGTTCATCTAGCAGAAAACATAGTGTGAAGACAAGAGAGGCCACCAACTACTTATATCAAACAGCAGAGTTAAACGAAGTGTAGAACCCCTCTTCGTTTCAGAAAACCTTTTTTGCCTGCACGTAATGTGTGTTTGTGTGACCTAGTATTGATTTGTCAAGAGTTTCATCCTCTTCCTATATACTCTTTCTTCTAGTCCCGAGTAGTGAGCAGACTTCACATTACCAAGTTCCTGATCAGGCCTTTCAGATCATGGACTTTATACCTTCGTTCAGCCTGTGCGTCCTTGGTTTTGGGAACTCTGCTCCAGGCGTGCGTTCGTGGGTTCAGCCAACCCTTACTCGCACGCACCTCAGACTGCTTTATTGCAGCCTGGAGGCGTCTGAACTGGCTCCCCCCTCCCCTTGCTGCCAACAACCAGACGAGCAGGCACCAGTGCTAACAGTACATCTAGCACTCAAAATTTCGCTCCCAAACCATTAACACACACATTTCACTCCACTAAACAGAGTTGAGGCTCGTAGTCAAAAATAACCCTATAACAATTATCACTCACAAAAACTTGAAAAACCCTAAGTTCTCATGGTTTCACGAATTATTAACTTTACAATAACACAGACCGCTGGTCTCGCCTAAATCCCTTTTCCGCAAGAACCTGTAATCCAGTCTTTTCCAAAACAAGATTTGGACAGGACATGTGACGACTGTTGCTGGACTTTCCCCTCGTTTCCCCAAAGGTACCGAGCAAACAGCTGTTATCTTGCTGACCTCGGTAGGCGCGCACCGCCAAATGCCGCTGGCTCCAGTCTGACTGAAAGAGTCATACGTGCACTGGGGAACAGGGGAATTTAACTAAACTTACACAAAAACCTCAAATAGATACCAGTACACCTTTTACCTCCTATATAGATATACTCAAAGAGCCAATAAGGAATGCCTCTCTTCGTAAAACCTACTTGCTACTGTTTATGTATTCGTTTAATGTATGCCCAGTAAATGGACACTTGTGTGCAACAAACACCTATCTCAGCTGGCTCCCTAATCGAACTACCTGGTTTGACAAATGCTTTCTTCATCTTCCTTTTAACTGCGGAGACCATTCAATGATAACAGCTTTGGATATACACACTGAGAGTAGGTGCCCCTCTTGTACCTTTTGAGTTCTCTCCTCTCCTGCCAGGTCCTTATCATATCTGTCCTCTGTGGGACTGATACCCTTTCTCGTACCACACATAGCCATCACACCACGTGAAGACACAGTCATCCCGAAACCCTGTCTACAGGTGTGTAGTTGAGATCAAATAATTAAGGATGAATTCTGTAAGATTGGTGTGGCCCGAGTCCATAATGTAAGTGATTTGCAGCATACAACCACAAATCATGGAAAGATGGAACAAAACCATTACACAAAAAAGGCTGTTAGCCTTCCCCAAAATTTGACGTAAGTCAATATATAAAATATAATTAGTACGTTAGTTCAATTTATATTACTGAGTGGATCATTCTTTCCAAGATGGATAGTGGACAACTGGTACTGAGATTGGTCTACCTGATTCAGTATAAACAAACCAAACCATACATGAATTACCATGATGTAAAGACTGACATCAATGGCAAAAAAAGCGGCATTTAAGAACCAAGCAACAAGGTGATTTGAACCCCATGACTCCTCTCCTCTTGAAGCGAAGGCATTAGCTTTAGCAAATTCCAGTTCAACTGCACATTTTTATTTGTATAAGATTATCTCCATGACAGCTTTTAACATCAGGAGTCAATCTGGACTGTACTCTATATAACAAATTATATGTACCAGCGAGACCCAACAGATCCCACCATGAGCAAGGCGGCACATTGGCAAATGGCGGCAAGGAAAACTTCCTTGAGGCAGAAACCTTGGACAGACCCCGGCTCTAGGTGGGTGGTCATCTGCCTCGACCAGTTGTGGTTAGAGAGAGAGGTATGGTACCCATCTTCCAGAAATCTGTGGATTTGCACACTGTCCTCACGGTCTGGAGGAAAATCAAAATTAAACCTGTCTCTAAAAAAAACCTTTACCAAAGGTTAGCAATGAATTCAGGCCTGTTGCATTGACATCCACACAACTCGAGTGGCCTAGTGAACTTTAAGTAATGGTAATGATTGTCCCAGGTATTGGGAAATCCCTCAGGTGTTCCCAGGGAAATTTAGTGAAGAGATGTGTACATTGGTGTGACAATTAATATCTTGTGTTGAATGTAAAGGAGGTTGAGGAGATGGTGTTTGACCCTAAGGCAACGAGTAAACTTACACCGGTACATATACATATACACACACACATACATATACACACACAGACTATGCCAGAAAATCACATAACTTCCAGATAGGTAAATGCTTTAATCAAACAATCAATGAAATATCATTATTGTTGGTTCCTGTCCTGTCCAGTTGTCTTTCTTAACTAATTACAACATGCAGGTAAAATATAGCTAAGCAACTGATCAAAGATCAACCGTCCTGGACCAGCCAATCAGTCCTCGATGTTATACATGATGTTAATGTTGAGTTTCCCCTGGCCGGGGCAGAAACTGGCTGCTGGGGATGACCTGAGAGAAGCAGGCTTAGTCACTACAGTCCCGAGGGAGCCCCGTGACTTGGGGACAGTGAGGTCTGAGCTGGGTGTGACTGAGTGCATGTGCTGTCGTGCTGATGCTCAGTGTGCCCGCTGTCGGCTTTTGCATGGGCCTGCGTCTCCACAGCGGCAGCCTGTGTTTAACATTTAGGTTGGCAGAAATGGAATATAATATTAATAGGTATATTTTCATTAGTGTATAATGATCTGAAAATATACATTATCTACAGAGGGAGCAGGTCCTATTTCACAGAGGCCACCATGCTGAACCACCATGTTACCACAGCCCAGAAACAACAAACCAAACTAGAGTAATGCAAAGGCAGATTGAGACAATAATTCACCAGGTCTGCCTGCTGACTAACATTACATTCCATATAAACTATTCTCTGTAAGTAATATCAGTACTCTCAGCAGCAGGCCAACATGGGATCAGGACCTTAAAACTGCAATCAGTGATTATCAATGAAAAACAATTATTCAGCTTTAGACAGGAGAACTTGTACTGATTAACTTTTAATACATTTGTGTGTGTGACTCACAGCAAACTGACAGTCCATAGGTGGGCAGTTGCTCAGTTCACTGGCATCTGCTGTCTTTGAACACACCGTCTCCACAAATCATATACATCGTCTGTGGGAAATGTAGTCTTAGATTTTGACATTAACTCTTATCTCTGTGCACAGAATCTCCGCTCAAAACAAACATCATTCAGTTGATTACTTGATCATTTCCTTTTTTTCTTAACCTGCATACTGGCTCTTGTAATGTTCTCCAGAGTAAAGTAGTTGGTGAGGCGGCTCTCTTTATTGAACTTCTGGAGGGAAAGATCAGCTGTCTCCTTGGCTTTGGGCTCATTCAGGTCGCGAGCTGTGGGACAGTCCTGACAAATACCCACCACTCTCCTGGGAGGAACTAAAGACAAGAATGAACAGGGTCAGCGGTCAATAGAATGTAGCTGTGGCAAAGAGTTTGTTTAACTGCCAGTCTAGGAAGTCGCAGTATTGCACAAATTCAACCAATCACTCTTTATTCTGCACAGCAACTGTTTATTCTGCAATTTTGTCAAATCGCCTTCTCCGTAAATTTGACCAATCATTGTAGTTTTCATAGCAGTCCCCCGCACATAACTTTGAGCCATTTATCCCCAAACTACTTCACATAAATAAAAAAAATGTTGAAGGGGCTGTGGAGTGTGTAGGAGAAACTACGGTGGCCGCAGAACTAGCCAAAAAATGGCAAAGGCCCTATCTACAGCCAGTGTTTGGTCTTACATGATTTGGATGGAGGTGATCATTTTTAAAAATATCCATTCTGTTGGAAAAAGGCTTAGTCCTTACTGCAGCGGCTTGGGTTCAGTTCCAACCTGTGCCCCCCCCCAAAAAAAAATCCCAGATGAGTTTGAATGACTCCATAGACCTACCATCACGAATTGCACAGGAGTAATTTTGAAGGTTGACTTGAGAGTCAACGTAGACAGATATATCACACTCTCTATACCCCTGAAGAATTAAAACACAGAAAGACACATGCACATATGACTAAACCAGGTCAACAAATAAACAAATCTCAGGGTTTCTCTCAGATGGAAAGTGAATAAAAACTGAATAAAATACATTTAAAAAAGCATAAATAACTGTTAAACGAATGAAAAAACAATGCAGACTGAATTATAGTTTGGCTCTGGGTTGAGATTATTTTAAGAGTGAGGATAGACCACCATGTTGTACTTACTGGTGAAGTACCAATATCTCTGACTTCACATTATTTCCATGGTTTCCTACTTCTTTCTCTGCAAACAAGGCTCCTCATCCATCCACTCTTTCTGCCCTCCCTCTGTAAATACGTCTGTCAAGATGGAAAATGGTGTAAAAAATGGTGTGTGCATGCGTGTGTACAAGAGAGTTCACCCTCACCTCCTCAGGAGTGTGAGAGAGGTCGTACAGTCTGTTCAGGCTCAGGATATATCCGTGTGTCCGGTCCTGGTTGATCTACTCCAGGGCCTCTTCCGCCACCCTCACCACCTCAGGGCTATTGCAGCCTGGAGGGTCTGAACTGGCTCCCCCCTCCTGCTGCAGCAAAGCCAGACACAGGACCAGCAAGTACACACTCATCCTCCAACACACACACACACACACACACATACACACACACACACACAGAAATCACAAAAAGGGTTGGACAGATGTTAAAGGATGAACAAACAGCTGTTATCTGGTGTTAGGTAGGCCAATGACTGGCGGAGGGGTCATAGTTCACTGGGGAACAGGGGATTTTAACTAAATAAAAGAAAAGCAAATCAAATACAGCACACCTAATTTCATTTCTTTGATGTGACAATATTATTGTTAAAGGAACACCTCATCAAAAATCTACTGCATGTAAAAAGTTGGTAGCTTGCTTGAGTATGGGAGCTGTTGACAACTTGAACTCAACAGCAGTTACGACGTACAAGTCGAGGTGAAAGCATGGGCCAAAATGTAGAAACTTTGCAAATGGCTACAGCGTAAACCACTTCTCATTATCTTCTATCCAAATATTTTCACGAAAATGACAAATACCCACATTTTTGCTATAAATATAGCTAAATACATACATTCCTTTATGTGTTAGCACAGTTACCTGTTTCCCTTTGTCAGACTTCAATGCAGAATGAGTAGGGTTTAGCTTCCTCCTGGATATGCTGCAGATGCTTACGATCTGACAATTGGTGGCTAGGTTAGTGCCACCCTGCGTGTGTTATTGGCTAGGGTCTACACACCCACTGCCCAAAGCAAGGTGACGTTCTACCTTACACTTCTAGTGGGCAGTATTGGTGCTTGAACACACACTATTGAAGAGCAGACAGTGACACCTTTGGTTGTAAACTTATTACTGTTGAGCCAGGCCAGATAGCATTTTGGGTCACTTACTTTTCATTCACTCAGTCACACTAGTGACACACAACAAATTATAGAGTTTGGATGTCCATACAAGAGCAGGAATGGTTTCGGTCGTGTCATTTTTATAATTCCTTTCTGGAGTATTTCTTCAAAAGGTCAAATAAAATCAATAAAAATTAGCTACTGCATCATCGTTATGTAAAAATGGAATCATGTTATGTAGACTTGAAAGCCTCATGTGATCTCAAACCCCCCAAAACTAACAATTAGTACACAAACGTACTGTTCCCACCAAATGCAAATGCAAGTATTTGACAAGATAGCATACAAAATCAGTGAAACATTCACAGATTACTGATTTGGTGACTAACAGATTTTGCACCGGTATGTGTACGCAAAGGTACTTAGAATGCAGCTTTCTTAAACAAGTAACTTTATTAAAGAATATTTAACATAAATATTCTTATACTGTTCATAACATTTATAACTATTCTTTAACATGTTAAAAAGGTCCAGTGTGTAAGATTTACGATCATTTTGTGGCAGAAATGTAATAAAATAATTATAGGTATTAGTATATAATCACCTGAAAATCTAGATATTATGCACTGTAGGTACACATATACTTACACAGTAAATATATACTTACATCAGGAAAAGGCGCGTTTTAAAATAGATGTGTTGCATTTTATAATGGTGTAACTTTCTTTGCCCTACTGTCAGCAAATTAATAAATCACCTACTTCCCTGATGACAGTGAAAATCCATCTGCTGCTTTATGTAAACCCAAGCTTTTGAAAGTTTATTTTCATTTGTTGTTTTTTTTGAAGACAGTGACTGAGATCATCTGGCAGGAAACACTGGGGGTTGTGGGGGTTGGGGGCAAATGCATGGAATCAACACAAAATGGTTGGCTTTGATCAATACAGAAAACACTGGATGAGTATTTGCGGTATCTCATTTATTTTTTCTGTGCAGCCAAGCATGAGATAACATACAAACAAAGGAAACTTTCATGTTTGCTGACTTGATTGTAGTGACTCAAGATGAAGAACTGTTAAAGATGGTCCCGCCATGTGAATATGGGCATATTGTGGTCAGTGTTTACAGTTTTGTTGTCTCTGAGGATTGTAAAAAAGGAAATGACCAGATTATTTTGGACGTTTCCCACCAACAGAGAAATTATGTTGATGTAAATGTAGTTTTTTGGTAGGGTAGATGGTTTAAGTGAAGAGAGACAAGAAAAGTTACATTTTCAGTGCTTATAATAATCCACCATTTTGTCTGGAGCAAATTTCTGCCTTCACTACCCTTGACTCTTTGTTTTTATGTGAGTTTTTCCAGATCAGTTCCCAAGCGAGTTTCACAAGCCACTTTATGCAGCTGGCTTGAACATGGGGTCCTCATTGAAGACTTGCTCCACCAGGGTGGTGCCTATCACTGCGGGGGGGCACTTGGCTGAGACTGAGGTAGGGAAGGGCAGGATGATGGGTTCCATCTCTCCGGGGATCTGGGGATCGGGCTTGGCGGGCAGGGTGACTCCCACCTCTGGGCCACCGGCGGGGACATCAGGGAAGGCGGGCAGGGTCATGGGCTGTCCCATGGCGGGCAGCATCCTCACTGTGCCCTCTGGGTTGTCGTGGGCTGCAGTCTCGTGGTCATGGTCATGGTGATGGTGGTGGTGCTCGTGCTCGTGAAGGTGTGCGTGCTTGTGGTCATGGTCCAGCGCGATCTCGTGGTCGTGCTCATGGGTGTGTACGCCATCGCCATGCTTGTAGTCGTGGTGGTGGTTGGGTGAGTCACCACTGTGGTTGTGGGCCTTGGCGTGATGAGTGTGCACGTGATCGTGACCATGCCCATGGTCATGGGAGTGGTCATGAGCGTGCCTGTGGCTGCTGCCTGCGTCGTGGTCGTGTGTGTGGTGGTGGTCGCTGTCGCCGGCGTGCTGGAGGGTTCTGTCGTGTTGAGTGTGGCTCTTGGTGTGGTCGTGCACGTGGTCGTGTGTGTGTGACTGGTCGGCAGCGTGTGCTTGGTCGTGGGTGTGGCTGTGTCCGTGTGTGTCAGTGTGGTTGTGGTCAGTCTCTCCGCCCAGCAGGTGCAGTTTCTTCTCTCTCTCAGCAGCCTGGAAAACACAGTAAAGTAAAATAAAATTAGTGATGTATGGTGCATACCAGTTCTGATACATCCACCATGGTTATAAACCATAAAGGTACAGCATAAACTGCCTAACAAGAATGCTGTATAGGTCGATTGTGCTAGCAGCTTATTACAACTCATATTTACATTTATTGTTAGGTGGTGACCTCTAGTGGCCGTAGTAACTATGACTGGAGCAGTATGAAAAGCAAGAAAGTCCACATATAGAGGAGTTTTGGGTAGATAGATAGATAGATAGATAGATAGATAGGTAAAAAAAAACCTCAGGACTTTCATCCAGGAGACTGGGGCTTGTGTCCCATGGGAAACCAAACATTAACTTATTTAAAGTTCAAGTTATATTAGGTATGTGACTTACTAACCCTAACTGTTACTTGCATAACATATCATATGTATCAACCCAAACCATGATCTTTTTCTAAACCTAGCCAAGTACTTTTGTTGCCTTAATCTAACCAAACTGCAACTGTTTCACAATTATAACCATGTACCATGTTCGTTTTGGGAGTCATTCAACCTATTCTGTCGTTTAAGTATGAGGATGTGTTGCTTTTGGAGCAATTTGTGAAGGAGAATTCCAATTTATTACTGGGATCTTATTGTTGTAGTTTTGGACATTGTTTCTATATGTTAACATTGTTATCACTAAAATGATTATAAAGATAATGGCTTTAAAGAAGTCAGGCAGTGCAAGACAACCTGTTTGGTTGGTTAATTTCAGTTTTTGCTCCATTGTAGCAATGCCACCCCAGTACCAGATCTCATCAATTAGATGAACCATGAACTAGAACTGTTCAAATCAGAATTTAAATATTTGTGTCCAAGACTCAAGTCTAATCAGTGGGGACAGATTCATGTTTAATTGATTTCTTATAAATTAAGTTCTAGTACATTAAAAACATAAACATGCGTTTTTTTCTTGTACTATAATGAAAGAAGACAGGTGGAAGAAATACAGTACATCAATGTGACACTGTGTGTTTTATAATGGCTTAGTGAGTCTTACCTCAGGCTCATAGATCTCACACTCTACACTGGTATCAGCATCATTAGTGGGAGAGTAGAAGAGGGATGCCTTACAGAAGCCCTTGTGCTGAGGAGCGAAGAACAAGAAGTAAGGGAGGAGAGAATGGAGCAGAGGAATGGTTATGCCTGTGGCAGAGTAGAGTTTAATAGTTGAACAACTGAATTTCAGAAGAATGCTCGGCTGGAATAAACTTGCTCATTGATATGAACACAAATGGAAATCCAGAATAAAAACTTGTCTTGAATCTCTCTCAATGTTTGGGGACAGTACAAGCCAGTACAGATTGAGTTGAGAAACAGCATTAAGAAGAAGTAGACATGACACATGGACTAATTGTAACTGAAGGACTAAAGCGATAATTAACATGAAGGATTACTATGTCTCTTCAACATACGAAACAGATCCTGTAAGCTTAACTAAACAGTGTGTGAGATTGTGTTGTGTTCAAAAATGCTGTGAAACAACAATTTGTCATGACTCACAGCGAACTCGCACTCCATGAACGGGCACTTATCAGCTGCTTCTGCGCTCTTGGGGCAGGTGGTCTCCTGGATGGTGTACTCTACATTGTAAAACATCTGCATGGCCATCTGGACACACACACACACACACACACACACACACACACACACACAGAAAGAAAACTTTTAACAAAGGAATAATCAAAATAACTGTGGAAGTGGGACCACTGAACACACTTAAGATGGGAGTTCAAAGGAGTTGGTCATGAGGATTGTGAGAGGAGTGGATGAATCCATTTTTGGAAAAAAAAATCTTTCTGTTTATTACATAGCAAGCATTTTGATTAACCACAGAAAAGTGTTTCTCTGGAAGATTCAGATTTTCAGATTCATAATTTTATATTGCAAATTGTCAGATTTTGAATAAATGACTGACATAAATCCAGTGTTTAATAATGTTTTAAATACATAAAACATGTTTGGGTGGAATATCTCTTTGATTTAGTATAACTATGTAATGGTAAGTTTGTTGAACCTTCTAGAATGGTAATTTCGTTTGCTCACCTGCTCCTGCAACAAGTTTTTCAATGTTTATGTGAAAGAAACAATGCTAATTATATTTTTGGATTTATCCAAAATTTAGTGAGTCCCCCAAGAGTTTAGATGTTTTTGGTATTAGCCTCAGGAGAATTCATCCTCCCTCTGAACATACAGTCACCATACCATTGACCCGGGAGGATACTGTAGGTCATGAGATACATTTGTGTTCTGGACATTTGGAAAACTCACCCCAGCGGTAGCGCGGGTGACTTTGAGCACAACGAAACGATTGGCAAACCCGGTCTCCTTGTTGAACTTGTCCAGCGAGAGAGACAGCGCCTTCTGAACCTCAGCGTTGCTCGTGGCGATGGGAGACGAGCAGTCAGGGCAGACATCAGCCACCTTAGCTGCAGGAACTGAGCAGAGAGGAAAGTGGTTTTGAATTTCAATGTGCATGTGCCTTATTATTGTTTTGCAATGCACGGAATCTGAGGTAGTTTTTATTAAAAATCTGTCATATGTTTCACTTCTTTCCAAAAGAGTCAAACAAGCTCAGCTTAACTGAGAAGATATTGAACTGTTTCACCACACTGGCAGAATTTTAAGATGAATTAATGTTTATTAAAGAAAGAAAGTTCTTGTGTTTGCTGTTATTATTAGTATTTTTCTTACCTGGTCTGATAACACAGTTGTATTTGTAGAGGCGGACCACTCTTTGCACTCTATTGATGAAGATGGCTGTTTTGCACTGTCCATATACCTGCCAAGACCAAAACAATAATACGCACATGCAATATTTAATGTGCTGCACATATACAAAGAAAGAAGGCTTGATTTATATTCAGATTTTTATTTTACTACTTTTATATTACTTTTTTTATTTTAGAAGTTGTTTCTTCTGCTAACTTAAGAGCTACTCTTTATGGAAGAGCAGGGAAGTATAAAACATGAATGCAAGCAAATAAAACATAATATAATTTAAAACACACAACACAACATAATGATAAAAAGACTTTTTACAACAAGTATTTTTTGTTGTAAAAAACAAAGGCCATAACAGTATACACTAGATGTGGACTTGTGTAAACCTGTTTAGGAACATATGTGCATGGAAGAGTGTGTGTGTACGTGTGTTATCTAACCGGTGTGTCATGTGTGGGACGAGCCTCACAGGTCTTCCAGTCTTTCCTGCTGAGGACACTGCAGTTGGTCTCAACGACGTCCAGAGTCAGGTAGAAAACCATGCCGTTGTCTCCCTGTGACACACACACACACACACACACACACATTCAGAATGTACACATACCACGCAATTATCAAGCAATAATTATAGTCAATTACTTCCTGATGGAAATGATCTTCTCATTTCACTGTGTGACGGTTCATTTTTTATTTTATTTAACCTTTATTTAA